TAACATTAGAGAAACTCAATATATCGGCAGTGACCACAAAAACAATGACCATGAGAATTAATTGCGTATGAGGATTAACATTCTGTTTTGTTAAGGTGAAATGAAGGACTTCTCATGAGCACCTATCATCGTTATTTTTACATTTTAATGCGCATATTCAATTGCAATTATTTTGCAAAGAAGTTATCATTTCATTCATCATCTAATATTTCTATCTTTTTATGAACACAGTGCATGCTTGTAGAATAAACTTTTAGGTTGAATCAACTTTTAGGCTCAATTCGATACACAACAATCTTTTTCTGTGATGCACTTCATAATTTTTGTTGCTGTTCTTACCACCATCGCAAGTGGCATTGTCGTTCCACCAGAATATGAACGGTAGTAAGAAAACATTTCAGCAAAATTGTATCGCTTGAAAACTTTTGTAGTTCATTTCTGATTGGCTGAATTTTGATAGGGGAAAAATGTAATCTCGCAATTCTGCAATGAAATGCATGATTGTACTGCTTCCAAGTGTCTAGTGATCGAATACTTGGACATTAGCCGGTCAAAAAACGACCAAACATACTTTTATGTAAGAACCACTGCAACTAATTCACTATTTTCCAGCTATGCCGATTTATGAGAATGTCATCCGTTATGTATTGCAGAGCCTTTGCGGTGTTTCAAATCATTCCAAGATCTGAAGAAGAAGTGAAAATGCTCTCGAAACTCTATGGAAATAGCGATCAGATGGTATGTTCACTGATCAGATAACGCTTTTACTATAGTTCACTGATCCTCTCGAGGCAATCATGTGCAGCATATTTTATTATTAGATATCGATTATGCAACTGAGTACGAAATGGAGAATAACGATGCGAGCAAGTAAGATAGCCGATTGTGTTGATTGTGAAGAGTCAGCTTAATGATCTACTAGTTGTCGAACGATGCAACTGAATGCGAATCAGATTTATAGTGTGACTACCTTCGAAAGGTGTTCAAGCAACCAAAAAAGTGATTTTGAAAGGCCTTGTTGAACAGAGTAATAAAATCTAAAATAACTAACAAAGAAGCATATAATCAATGCGAGGCATGCGATATCAAACAAAAACAATATTCAGTTTCATAAAACAATTTCAATTTAAGCATAATTCTAAAGTCCTATTAGAAAGAAGGACACAGTGGTTATTTTTAGTTGGACTTCTGGAAAGCACCATCATCAGTGAACAACTCAGTTGATGTGATGGTATATCCAGAATACAAACAAAATTTCACGTATTGGCTTCAAACTGTGGAATTGCCGTATCGAGTACTCACCAATGATCTTGCAGCGTATGACTTATTATCATTGATTGCCACTTCATATGTTTCGTTGCTAGATTTTATCTTGAAAGCAATAATGGTGATTTTCAGCATGAGTTGAAAGAATAAAAAGAGTGGAAATGTGATTGTTTGATTAAGTTTAAGAGTATGCTTAAGATTTATGAACAACAGTGTGAAAGTTGAAAATGCACAATTTTGATTATTATCTTCATCAGTTTGCTAGTGTTTATTGCCAATTATAGAATTAGTAACACGTGAATTGCAGTAGTATCTCTCGCAACAATCTCACTAACTAGAAAGGAAACGCAAACTCAGAGCTTCTCGACAAAAAAAAATTCGTAACTGAAAGGCATTCCATAGCATGCAGTTTTTTCACGAAACCCCAACTGCGTTCATTCGTATCACTCATGCATACTACAAATGGGTTGCAATAGAACTGAAGAGACGTTCTTTCAGTAAAACTTCCACCCGATTGCTTTGTTTAGTAAACCGGATCAAATGTAAAGCAATAAAATATACTTTTAAATTTGTGAGAATTTCTTCCTGAAAACACCTGAAATAGATACATGGAGTGACCCATTCGCCTAGATACCTCCTAAGCAAAATCAAATCACCAAATTCATTGAGTTATGCTTCACATTAGAATGCAAAAGAACCTGAAGAAATACAAAACTGATTTGAAATTGGTTCATCCCATGAAATCTGAATTGAAAAACACACTTCGTTTCTAGTTCCATTGCACTTGCTTAATTTCCTTATTATTGCATTCCCAATAAATTGTTGTTGCTGCTGATCAAATGAATGAAAAGCTTTCAGCATTTATTTGATTATAAGTATTCGTGAGATAGAATAGGAATCATCCATTGCAGATGATTTTTATTCTGAAATGTAGCAATTTTTGAACTGCCGCTGCGCCCAAAAATATCGGATTAGAAATCTTCAGACTGCATCGTCATTTTCAAATCAATGATTTTCATTTTATAGACTAATCGAAAAGTATGAGACGACAAGTCGGCTCGACTATCAAAATAAATTTTTCGACAAAGACCGTCGTCTAAAAGACCAGGCAGATACTCGAACTCGAAACGACGATGCCATGCGAGCTTTAAATTCACTGCCGATGGGCGAATATTATTCTTACGATCAAATTGTTGAATGGATGCAAAAGTTGCAGCATTTGAATCCAAGTTTTGTGCGACAAATTTCAATTGGAACCACCCATGAAGGAAGGAATATCGTTGGACTTATTGTAAGAATTGTCTCTATTCATTCGATTTTACGTTGCAAATGCTTCAAAAAAAAAGGAACGATCTATCCTTGCCAATGTGCTAACTGGTATATTAACAAAGGAAGATGCTTCGCACTCATTCACTGAACGTGATCAGAATCAGTAACTTTCAATCAAATAGCAACGAAACGGTACGACCATAAATGACATGAAGATTTTTGGTAACTGCCAGATTATAAGAAAACAAATTCGTAATCAGTGTGAAAATCTTTACAAGCTGACGAAGGCCTTGGTCATATCTTCATGTATCATTCCCTTGTATGTGCCAGTTTGCAGAAAGTTTCAGCGATCACACATTTGTTCAGCTCTTACTTAATTTTCTCATTAATTTTCTCTAAAGAAATTTGGGAGAAGCATGTAAGTAAGGTTTACTCAGTGGCTAGCGCATAATTCGCCCTATGCATGCTGTTCTTAGCGAGTGAGATTGAAGCATCACAACAATTGTGAAGATAATAATGATAATGAAGTGGTAATATTGGTTCAGATTGGTAAAAATATGAATAATAACGCACGGATCGTTTGGATCGATGCAGGAATACATGCAAGAGAATGGGCTTCCATTCATACTGCGCTCTATTTCATCCAACAGGCTAATTTTAATTCAACTCTTTGATCGATTACGAACTCTTGAACTGCTTGTTTACGAATTTTCATTTGATTGATTCGACTATTTGCTTTCGTAATAAGAGTGATAGTGATAATGCTGGACAGCAGCAAACAAAGTAACAATAATGCGAATAATAACGTCTCCAATGATAGCAGCATCGTTGATAACGGTAATAACTGTTATTGCTATTTGCAGCTGATTTCTAGGTATGGGCAAGATCCGAAAATTACCGAATACGTAAACACGTTGAACATTTACATCTTCCCATGCCTCAATCCGGACGGCTATGAGTATACTCGATCTGATCCACACAAACCAGCAGTGCGATCATTTATCTTTGTGCCAGTTCACTTAAATCTTAAAAAATCTGATTCCTCAAAACGAATTCTGCGGATTACTGCTACACTTATCAGAGAATGATATTGAAAAGAAAGAATGAGGAACTTCCTTAAAGCTAAGGCAATATATTCGACTCACTCGTACATTCAAAGTAGCCAAATCATTGCTATTTAAGATCCTTGCTATGACGATTACTTAAGAAATTAAAGCAGCTGTTCGATGTGCATTTTTAGGTGAGAATGTGGCGTAAAAACAGGTCTCCTGAAAAATGCGTCGACAAGGATAGTAAAACAGTGTGCTGCAAAGGTGTTGATTTGAATCGAAACTTTGCATTTCGTTTCGCAGGTTAATTCATTTCAATGTTTATCCTCTTTGAAATGAATTCTTCCAAATTAGGAATGTGTGTAGATATCATCCGGTAATTTTCGTTTCATTAAGTGTTCTTGATCGTACAATGGCGAGAAAATGAAATTTGATCGATAGAAAATGGCAAAAGTTTCTGAATGAAGAAGTTGCAGTTGAGATTGTATCAATCACTAGCCACATATGCTATTCTCTTTCGAAAATAATTTCAGAAATTGGTTCAAGTTCTTCACCTTGCTCTGAAATTTATCATGGTAACTATGCTTTCAGCGAGCCCGAGTCCAGGTAGCTAATTTTATGCTAACTTCATACTTCTTGAAAAATATAAGATAACTTGTCTTACGCAACGTGGCGATCGTTCAGCAATTTCACTGCGTTGATTGAAAAATCAGTATTTTGCAGAGCAATTCGCGATGCAGTTTTATCGCTAGGCAATCGAATTGATGCATACATAACGCTGCATACTTACTCGCAATTATGGATCTATCCATATTCACATAAAAAGCATGCATATTCTGAGGATGTTAATGATCTGGTGGGTTTTTTTAAAAAACAAATGTTGTTAACCGCGACAACGTTCATCGCTACATTCTGATAGTTATTTTTTAACTTTCCAGTTTCATTTCTTTCTGGAACTGGACCCTTCTTCCCTATAATCTTTGTTGTTCCAAAAACGGTGAGAATTTGGTTTTGAAGCGAACAAACATCTACACGTAAATGTTGCATTCTGTTGTTGCAGAAATCATTAGCAAGAAAGGCTGTTGCATCATTGCAGCAGCTTTATGGAACGCATTATCGATACGGAACTGGACCAGAAATTATTTGTTAGTCCTATCAAATTTTTTATCAGCGTTTTCGTTGTTCTACGAAATATTTCTCACAATGATGCAATGTTCGAGGATGAGTGCTAATTGAGCCACAAATGATCTAATATCGATTATGAGGCATATGTTCTACTGAAAATTTGAATATGACCACAATTTCTAGCCAATAATTGCAAATTGTTTTAGATCCATACGCTGGCGGATCATGTGACTGGGCCAAGGAAACTGCCAAAATTAAATACACCTATACACTTGAATTGAGACCATCCTCTTTTGGTAAATTTTATTGAAGCAAAACAATGATACTTTAATTAGCAGCAAATAGTAATAATATTGATAATACTCATAGTAATAATTGGCGCTGGGCATGCTACTGAAGAAAAGTGGCATCGCTAGTCGCTAATTCCCTAAAAAATATTCTTGTTCAAGTAAATATAATCCGCTAGTACCGTTGCATACGAAAAGGCAGCGAAAACTTTACGCTAGAAGTGCCACTGCTCAGAAAAGCAGCGATATTTTTCATTAAAACGCTGCTCAGCAAAATTGGTCCGCTGATCGCTACTTTCAAATCTTCTTTCAAATTTCAAATCTTCAATTGCATACTTTTCTAACGAGAATAAGAATGAAGAAAACTTCACTACACTGTACCATAATTGATTTAAAGTCACACTACTCAGTGAGCTCAAGCAGAGTGCTAGTGGTGGTGCGAACATTTGAGCTATGACTGAACATTCAGTTTCGAGTTGTTAGGACGAGTACGAGCGCGGAAGGTTCAAATTTAGCAGTTGTCAGTGTTTAGCAGTTTCTTAAATATCATGATGTTGGGGAAAATAAGCATTCCGTTGCAGACGAAAAGCAGCGAGTTAATGTGCCGTTGCCCACCACTGCTAATAATGATAATGATTTTAAAATAACAATAATAACACTAGTGATAATATCTGCAGCAGAGTCACAATAATTACCAGAGTTTTTGCTATTCACTACGATTTTATCGTCTTTGTTCCTATATTACTTTCACTTTTTTTCATTTCTTTTATCTGAGATTCAGAAGAATGCCGCAGATGCGGTACGTCTGCCATTGTACGATAAAAAGTTTTTGCTGATTTAGACTATCAACCAGAAGCATCACTCCATTTGACATAGCCAAATTCATTTTTACATTAATTTCGTCAGAAACTTTTGTAGACTGGAATGGTTTCATATTGGATAAACGTCAACTAATCCCAACTGGAAGGGAAACTTTTGAAGGTGTTAAAGTGGTACTCGATAAAGTTATCGAAAATGAGAAACGACGAAACGGTAAAGCGATACTAATTGAGTAATCTATGAATTAACGCATGATAAAATTTGATATTATCTCAAAGTTTTCACTTCCAGCAAAATCTTCGTCAGTGATTCACCGTTATAGATATTTCATATGAATGAGAAATCAGCCGAGGTCGGACGAAACAAAACAATTACCAGTGATTACCATGATAACTTTCCTTATGACTCTCGCATCTGCGCAGTTCTTCTCTTGATTTATTCTCCCTCTGAAATTTTTTCTATTTGTATTTGTTACTTTAAGCGTAACTCTCTTTCCAACATTTGGCATTTTGTGTCGTCATCAAGGAAGGAATGAGGAGGAGAAACATTGCTTCTATCTATACAATGTATGATTATGCGAATTGAAATCTCCATTATTCATTATCGGGTATCAGTGTAGAGGTACTGAATATACAGCTGAATAGATAGAATATGGATTTGTGATGAAAGGAAAATGACGTTTTTTAAATTTTATGAAAATATGTTATGGATAATTCCTAAAATATGAAAGTGGCATCCACCAGGAGTGTAGATAGGGGAGAGGGGGTACAGGGGCAATCTTTCCCTCCCTCCCCACTGGAGAGTAGGAGAAGTGTGGGTAAGGAAGGAGGAAAAGAGGAGAGAAGGGAGAAGGTGCATTTTGGCTTCTGTTACTAAAGCCATTTCTCCTCATTTGCATACCCAAACCCAAACGCTTGTTTTTTTTGATTCTTTGATCCCGTATAATGTTCGGTGGAAATTTTACTCATTATGAGTAAGTTAATAATTCATATAAGTATAAGCGTTTCTTATTCTCCTCATTCCTCTCTGATAATGGAATGAAGTGACGAAACATTAGAAGAAAGTCGAACAAGAGAGATTAGAAGAAGGAAAAAAATCCTATAAAAAAATAAATCAAGAAAAGGATTTCGCAAGGTGAGGGACCGGAAAAAAATTTAATAATTATTATTATCATTATCAGTAAAAATCATCATGCGCCTCATAAAGTATGGCTCAGTGTTCAATGTCGACATCATTTTTCGTAATATTGAAACACTGTCGACAGCTGAAATGTATTCTCTTCTTCAATTCATTCGTTTTCTTTTGTTGATTAGGTAAATCACGTATCTCATTTATGAAACCATGGAAGTTTCTTTCAGGGATCGAAATTCCGTGTTCTGACGTTGCATCCGCATGTGCGTATTGGATATCAACTAATCCATCGATATGTCACACAAACGAGATGACGATGCAAATCAAATGCGAGAAATCATGTTCATTTTGCTGATTGATTATTGCTGAAACGATAATGATTTTATCTTTTGATGCAACACTGCGAAGTGATTGCCACTCAGTTTTAGATTAAATGTTTTTAAATGCATAAATCGCATGTTTTTATTTTTAATAAATTTCTTAGCTGCAATGGCTCTGTTTGGTTATTGGTTGGGGATTTTTAATAGAAGAACCGTTTCTGCGATCAAAAAATTATGACAAGGAAAGTATGACGACAGCATACGTGAATAACTGAGTGACCGCACAATGAGAATGTTTCGTTTTTCTTGGAGGTGACGGAACATTAGAAAAATTGGTTCAGTGGTTCAATGTTCAAGAATTGGTTCAATGGTTTTTTTAAATAATCAAAATAATATCCTTCGAAGCTGAATCCAACGAATTCAGCTTCGAAGGATATTATTTTGATTCACTACTGTCGGAAGGATCATTTAATTCGGCTGATAACTAGGACGATCTGTGTATTCGATCGCTGTTAGGAAAAATTTATGTGTAAAGAATGCTTTTGATTCGAATAACGATATAATTGACTCTGAATGGCAACTTATTCCGAAACACTAACTTGACGGCACGAGTATTTTGAGCTGAATACAGAAATCTGTTACCACAGTTATGGAAAATTTGCTCTTTTGTTACAATATTATAACTATAAATTACGTCATGACTCATCAAGAGGATTGGATTTGCTACTGTTATGGAAAAAATCCTTCTTTATAATTACAACCACTAATTATGTCATGATTCATCAGGGGATTGGAAACGAATTTAATTGTCTATTTCTGTCGTCGGGTGACGTCGTAAGACTTCTTTGAAGTGCTTCTCAAGTTTAAAGCGGGAACGCACAACGCTAGTTCATTTGACGAGCGTATATCCAAATAATAGGGTATGAAGCCATCATAAAAGAAGTTTCAATATCAGGTCGTCACCAGGATTGTGCAGTGGATTAAGCACACTCATCCAAAACAGAACTGCTCTCATCATCAAAGATGAAATTCACATAGATTTCAAAGTATATCACTATATCGCACCGAAAGCATTCGTAAATGCTTTCAATGAGATATCGTTGAAATATCATTTTCATTCACACATGAGTTCGGCATTAGATATTGATAGCAATAATTAGAACAAAAAATTATACCGTTAGAAATTGCATTCGATGTTTAAAACTGAAATGCAGTGAACATTATAAATTTAATTGTATCAAATTAATCAGATTATATATTAACGTTTAATGGCAATAATTAGACGGTTATTGCCACTAAACGTCGTCAACTGCTCTTTAACTCATCCTTATTAACTACATTCTGAAAAACACTGAAATATTTCCCTATGCAGTATTTTTAGCCACGTTAATCAATTGTATTGGTATGGCCAATAGTTAAGCGTAGTACGCTGCGGGAAATGAAGGAAGTCGAAGACGAAATGCGTAGTCATGGACTGCAAAAATGCGATCATCTAGAAGAATGTCGAGGACGGGGACCAGGAAACGAGGACAGGATTCCCAAAATTACCCGTTCTACAAAAGACGTTAGCTATATTCGAATTTTAATTCCAGATGACATTCACCGAAAAAAAAAACAGATATTTCAATCATTATCACTGTTATCGGCCAAGAAGTACGTAACTGCACTACGCTGTCTATTGCATTCTGAATTGTTAACTGATCATTTGCAAACGAGAGTAGTTATTTAATGAATGATTCAACTAGTATGCATGTTCACGATTAACCATTACACTTGATCATGAACATCATCATAAGAAACCTTCAATTATGTACACACGTTCTTCAATGTCATCGACAATGCGCATTAATTTAAATCATAATCAAACGTTTCCAGAAAGGACAATCGCATCATCCATCTGCATTCCTTTACTAACTGTTCACCTTTCAGTTTCTCAATTTGTTTCAGTTTAATTGACTCACTTTCGTTGAAATCTATCGTTTCAGTTGTCTTAACTTCTGGTTTCGTCTTGCAATAAATATTTTTATTGTCACTTTACGTGATTCAGTGACTGTCACTTTTTAAAATTTCAAAACGTTTGAATGCTTAGCAATGATGATACATACTTATCGGTCACACCCAACCAAATTCATCCATTGTGGCGTAATATTTTTCCTTCAATTCAAGTTCATTCGAAGTTCAGCGAACGAATTAAAGTTAAGAAGGCCTGCAAGATTGAATTGTGTTGCAAATTACGGACTTAGGCTTAAAATTGGTAGCAGATATGTGTTACGGACTCAACCCAGCAAACGACTGTTGATAATCAAATTGACATTTGATCATGAATTCAAACTTCGAAAATCATCATCAAACTCATACATAAACCCAGAATAAAGTTTGGTAAACGTGTTTCTATCTTGTTCGTAAAACTGGTTATGGCATGACAAAAGGAAAAATTGGCTAAACATTGTGTTTCACTTAGTGAATATTATTGGCATTTCAAGTTCGTAATGAACGTTTAGTGAAATCAGGGCGCTTGTCTTGATTTGCAACGTCAAATCACTTCACTGCTCGATACACATACTCAATTTATCATCTTATTAAAATCACACTCATACTTGCTGATATGAATGTTATGATTTTGCATTCGTTAATGACTTAATCATTTCCAGTTCTCGCAATTAGACGCTTCAGTGCCTTGTTTTCTCAGCAAATGAGATATTCTTGCACAAAAATTTTGTACATAGTTACAGAAGAATATACACAGTCTTCAACTTGCGATTATTCGAGTTATTAGTCTCCCGCTATGAACAGTATTACGAGTTACACCTATTTTATTCATACAATATCAGTTCGCCGCACAAGTGTACATATGAGACCACCCTTTCTCCGTGCCGTAAGCCTAAAGGACTTAAAAGAGATTGATCGATTTGAATCAATCTAATCCTGTGCATTAGACTGAATTCAGATAAATTGAATGCGTCAGTGAAGCAGTGCGATCAATTGAGAACCATGTAGTGGGACTGGACGATCAGTTCGTTCGGCATTCTGCTTATCAACAAGCAACCGATGGAAAATGTCGCTTCAAAAAGCATCGCTAAATGGTGATGCTTTGTCTGATCATTTGTTCGCCTAAGGCATCATACTCTTCAACCTTAGATTATCAATTCTTTCTTAGTCTGATCTTCGCAGAAGTTGCCTTTTCGACTGTAAACAGCCTGCGTGGGTTCACCGAAAATCAAAGGTCGCACCATCTACAATGTGGAAAACAAATGGAAAACAAAAATGGAAAACAAAAAATAAAGCGAATTTATGACCTGATTCAATTCATAAACGTTGTTTCTGTTCAAAGAATTTTGTTTTTGAAGGTAACACCGAAAAAACTCCGAAATTTGAAGCATGCCCATTACGATGTCTTATAATTTGTCGAAAAAATCGTTTAGCCCAGCCATCTTGCAAACTAACTGATTTTTTACAAGCGAAATTTCGCACAGGTCGTTTTTAGAATAAAAGTCATCTTTTCGGTAGGTGAAACCTTGGTAATGGCGAAATTCGAAAGTAATTGTTGCCTTAATGTATATGCATTGAACATATCTGGAATGCACTTTCAAATAATATACAGGTATGCAGTATCTGAGAAGAGATTAATATGATAAAAGTGATGATAAAGTTATTCAATAAATGAATTGAGACGCAACGTAAATAAAACGAGTTGTTGTATTGTGGTATAAAAGAAAATAGCAGTTTTATATCATTCTTAAAGCAATTTCATTCAGTCAGTCGTTCAATTACATCAAAACACTCATATCGTCATCATGAAACTTCAACTCACCCTTCTTTCATATTTGTTATTATCGATACTGATATAATTATTATTATCATTGTTATTATTATTTATATATAAATATATATATATATA